TAAAAAAATTTTTATGTAAAATTACTTATTAAAATTTTTTATAATTAAAAAATTAAAGTTGGCTATTAAATTTAAAATTGCGATAATTTTAAAGTGGTCCAATACTTTTGACCGGGGAGTGTACATATAAATTGTTTTTCAATAAAACAAAATTTAATTTTAGTCAGAATTAGGTTTGTGCAACATTAAGAATCAACATAGTATAATAAAATTAACGCGTTGTATCGTTATACTCGACTTTTCGCGAAAGATATTCGATCTGTTTTAAAAAATTGCATACTATCTATTATTTTTGCAAATAGCTTAATAAACCTGAATTATATTTCTTAAATCAAACGTGAAAACACGTTGGATGTTTTGATTTTATAAAACAAAATATAAGCCATGACTTTGTCCAAGAGACGTGCTTTAGAAACACTTCGCCGTTTACGGGAAGAAGGAGGGTCTCGTCTTCAAGAATATGAGGTATAAATTGTGTAAATATATAGATATTCTCGCGTCACTTATGATAGATTCGTGTAACAATTTTCTTTATTGAAAGATTCAAGAACCAAGTATCATTTATGATGAGGTTACAGAAGAAATTTATCAATCCGAAGTTAAGAAAGTGACAGAAATGGTCGTCAATGATGATGGCACTCAATATATAACAGAAGAATTAGATGATTTGGGACAAAAATATACTGATGATTCGGAGTATGAGGATGATCCAGCAGATGGTTTGTAAATGAAAATTTTTATTTTCTTTACTGTAATGATTTATTTTACGCGTATTTTTTATATGAATGTTTATTTTACCATTACATTATTATGAATATTTTGCGAAAATTCTTGACTTACAGGGAAACGAAAAAGAAAATCTTTAGAGAACATAACTGATGTTAAACCCAATACAACTATCAACAATTACTTTTTACGTGCAGCCATTTCAAGTAAAATGACAAAACCTAAAAATGTACGTACCTTTTTTTTTTTTTTTTTTTTTTTGATGGGTAATCGTATTATATAATATTATTTGAAATTTTTAGACAAAGTCTACCAAAGAAGAATCCGAATTCATGTCTGATCTTCTACAAGGGTTAGATGATGATGATGATGAGCACGAAGAATTCATTCAATCGATGCAAGAAATATCATTTAACAATGAATTTCGTTATCAAAACAAAATTGTTGATGATAAACAAGAGAACTTTATTCAAGAAGAGCCTTCGTTTGACAACGAATTTAGTTGTCAAAACAAATTCGATAATGTTTCTTTAAATCAACCGATAAATTCGAATAATGATCAAGTCAAATGTCCCATAGATAAGGAATTCATTCAATCGATGCAAGAGATATCATTTGACAATGAATTTTGTTATCAAAACAAAATTGTTGATGATAAACAAGAGAACTTTATCCAAGAGGAGTCTTCGTTTGACAATGAATTTAGTTATCAAAACAAATTCGATAATGTCTCTTTAAATCAACCGATAAACTCGAATAGTTCCTTAAATGATCAAGTCAAAAGTCCCATAGATCATCAATCAAATAATTGTTACCAATTATTTTGGATAGATGCAATCGAAAAGGCCGGATTAGTATATATAGTTGGGAAAGTAAGTTAATTAAATTTTAGTTAATAAGAAATAATAATTTGCGTTTTATTTACACGTGAATCATTTTATTAGTTGTTTGATAGTAAATGCAATTCATATATAAGTTGTTGCGTCACTGTCAAAAATATCCATAGAAACATTTTCGTATTGCCAAGACAAAAAAAACTTGATGGTATTTTTTTAATTATTAACGTTTGAATTAATTAATTATTAAGTAATTATTGTATTAATCTATTTCTATTTTACGTAAAATTTACAGAGAATGATCATGAAACTGAAAGTGAAGTGACAATGGAAGATGTTGGTAGCGAAATTTATAATTATGTTAACATGGAATTAAAGGTTTTGCAACTTTTCACGAAACCAGTCCGCCGTAGATACGGATTTGAATTACCAGACGTTCCTGCAGAAACACAATACTTGAAAGTGATGTACCCGTTTAAACGTAAGTCTCTAAGTTCGCACAAATCATTTGAGTGCTATGCTATTAAAATCACATTATGGATCATAAATTTATTATATTACAATCCATTTTTATGATTAATAATCAATAGAGGAAGCTTTACCTAAGAACTTGAGTGGAAAAACCTTTAGTCGTGTTTTTGGTACGAATACTTCTGCACTTGAGTTATTCTTATTGAAACGCAAAATTAAAGGCCCGTGTTGGTTGGAAATAAAAGATGCGTTGGTAGAAACTTCGAAAGTGGGTATTATAGTGAATTATAACGTTTTTATAGTACATATATTTACGTTGGTACATTTTTAGATTTCATGGTGTAAACTTGAGCTTCTCGTTGAAGACCCTAAAAGCATTAACCCTTTGAATGAATCGAATTTGACCGAGCATATTAAACCACCTCCATTAACAATTATGTCATTAAGTTTAAGGACAATATTAAATGAACAAAAGCAAGTTAACGAAATAGTTGCTTTTAGCGTACGATTTTATCCAAAAGGTTTTGAAATGTTTTTTATCATAAATTTTCAACTAAACGTTCGATATTCATAATAACTTATTTAATTAATTAATTTGAAATGTAGTATCATTGGATGAAACCGTTCCGCCCGAACAGTTACAGCATCCTACACAATATTCTGCAATTCGTCAATTGAATAACCAGCGATATTGGCCTCGCTCTTTCGAAGAGCTCGTAAGGGAAGAAAAGCAAAAAGGACTTCGTTTAAATTTGGAAACGAATGAATTTTCGTTAATCAATTACTTATTAGGTTGGGATTTTAACTTCTATGTGATGAGAGATATATATATTACTTATATTTATAAAACTTCAACAGCACTCATCAAACAGTACGATCCTGACATTTTTGTTGGACATAATTTTATTGGATTTGACCTTGATGTTTTGTTACATCGTTTAAAGATGCTAAAGATTAAAGACTGGTCTTGTCTTGGAAGATTTCGAAGACATGAGTAAGTCGCAAATTTATAATAGTTTATTGCGAAAATGTATGGACATTCAAATTATTTAACTAGTTATAATATTTTATTTTAGATGGCCAAGGCAACATAGTGGGTCAGAGGTATCATTCGCAGAAAAATCGATCGTAAACGGTCGACTGATTTGCGATACCTATCTAAATGCAAAAGTAAGAAACTTATGACTATTATTTCATATATTTCAACGTACTATGTCTAACAAGCTTTTATGATCATTAGGATCTTATTAAATCCAAAAACTATTCATTGACGGAACTTGTTTCGTCACAATTAGGCAAACTTCGAAAAGACATTGAATATGATAAATTTTCAACGTATTACGGACGAGCTAAGGATCTATTATATCTAGTATGTCATTGCTGGAATGATGCTATTCTCACAGCAGAACTTATGCTCAAGCTTCAGATACTGCTCCTTACTAAACAATTGACGAATTTGGCTGGCAATATATGGTATATAAGTCCAGTTGGACGATATTCTTTGTTTACTTCGCTGAATTTATAATTTCAAATTATATGCTTATGTATTTTATCGAACAATATTGATAATAGGTCAAAAACTCTTGCTGGAGCTAGAGCAGAGCGTAATGAATTTCTTCTCCTACACGAATTTCATCAACACAAATATATTTGTCCAGACAAAGAATATAAGAAAAATCAAGAGCAAATTAATACGAATGTTGAAGGTAAAAATATCTTGAATCAACTTGTATATTTCTACAAGTCTAAATATATCTACCCATCTCTTTTTAAAGATGAGCAGACCGAAACCAAAAAGAGTGGACGAAAAAAACCTACTTACGCTGGAGGTCTTGTGCTAGAGCCTAAGAAAGGATTTTATGATAATTATGTTGTCCTTTTGGATTTTAACAGCTTATACCCTTCAATTATTCAAGAATATAATATATGCTTTACTACAGTAGACAGAGTTGGAATGGTGAGCTTAAATTTCGTAATGTGTATATATATAAAATATATTGTGAGATAAGGAAGATAAATAGTTTATTTATATCTTATATTATAATCAAAGGAGAAAGATGATATTACTCCTGAGGTACCTGATTCGAGTTTACCACAGGGTGTTCTCCCAAAACTGATTGCGAATTTAGTTGAGCGAAGAAGAATGGTAAAAAATCTTATGAAGGATCCAAAAGTAACCCCAAGCGAACTTGTCGAAGTATGTTGAATCTTTATAAGCACCGTTTAATTTAAGGTGTTCATTAATATTAATTGTTTTTTTCTCTATAATAGTATGATATTCGTCAAAAGGCTCTTAAACTTACAGCAAATAGTATGTATGGTTGTTTGGGTTTTCCTTTCTCCAGGTTTTATGCCAAACCGTTAGCTATGTTGATCACTTCTAAAGGTCGTGAGATCCTGGAAAATACTGTTAAGTTGGCTGAGAGCGAAAAGATGGAGGTGATTTAAATTTATTATTATTATTATTATTATTATTTTGTTTTAACAGAATTTAACCCTTGAATGATCTGTATTGATTTTTTTTTATGTATTATTAAGGTCATTTATGGAGATACGGATTCAATTATGATTAGCACTAGAGCAACAGATATAAGAGAAGCATCAGAAGTTGGTAATATCTTAAAGAAGAAAGTCAACGAGCGATACAAATTGGTTGAACTTGAAATCGATGGGTATTTTGAGAAATTACTTCTGCTCAAGAAGAAAAAATATGCGGCAATCGTTATTGAAGAAAAAAACGGTAATTTGAAACGTTCGTGTGAAATGAAAGGTCTCGATTTGGTTAGAAGAGATTGGTGTGACTTGGTGCGTAAAGTTTCAAGGCATGTATAATTATTATAAATAACATTTTTAAAAAAAAATTCATTTGTGAGTAATTTATAACTTTTTTTATAGATATATTTTAGACCAAATTTTATCATCTTGTGATAGAGAAGTAGTAGTTAATAATATTCATGCTTACTTGAGAGAAGTGGGAGAGCACACACGTTCCGGGAAATACCCTATTTATTCCTTTATAATAAATAAAGTAAGTTTAAATCGTAAGAAATTTCCTTATAACAGTTCGGATACTTCATTAAATTGTTGTTTTATTACATTAATAGAATCTTGCAAAGCCACCCGAAGCTTATCCTGATGTTAAAATTCAACCCCACGTGCAAGTTGCATTGAGAATGAAAACGAAAGGATTAAATCCTCGAACGGGAGATACTATTCCATATGTCATTTGCCTAACGACTGAAGAATCTGATAAAAGTATTGCTGAACGAGCTTTTCATCCCGATGAAATAGGCGGATCTAATTTACAAATTGGTAACATTTCATATAATTGCAATATTTTTTTATAATATAGAAATAATTTACAATATATATATATATATATTTAGATCATGATTGGTACTTAAAACAACAAGTTCATGCTTCGGTATCTAGATTATGCGAACATGTTGATGGAATTGATAATGTATCTATCGCCGAATGTTTAGGTATATATAAGTTTTAATATTATTATGATAATTATTATATTGAAACTGTACTTAATATTAAAACATACTTCATATTAATACACTGTTCTTAAAGGACTTGATCCATCAAAATTCAAAAGTTCATCAAATTCGGCAAAGTCGTCATATCAAATCAGCTCAAAAATGCCGAAAGAAGAACGTTTCAAGGGTGTTGAAAACTTTATACCAAAATGTATATATTGTGATGCATCTAATACCGTTGAATGCTTAAGTCCACAAAAGGTTAGTACTAGTTACTTCATATATATAAATTTTATAAAAATATTTTAATATTTTTAATAACCGGTAGGAAGGGGTAGTTAAATGTAGTGGATGTAACAATATTATCCCTTTTGCTTCGATCTTGACACAACTAACTTTCAAAGTTCGGACACATGTTAAAAAATATTATAATGGTTTGAGAATATGTGATGAACAAAGTTGTTTGTATAAAACTAGACAAATCACTTATTCAAAGAATTGTATTAATCGAGGATGTAATGGAAAGATGAAAGTTGAGGTAAATGTTATTTATATATAATGATATATTATTAGAACATTATACTCACTTTCTCAAACAAATTTTAAGTACGACGAACAAATGTTGTATATCCAGTTACTCTACTTATCTCAATTATTTGATATGGATAAAGCGCGAAATAATGGTATGAATTATAATATCTCGCAGAATATATGATAAATTTTTTAATTCTAATTTTTTCGTCTTTTATTATTAAGGTGCTAAAATTGTAAATGAAGTCGCCAGATTGAAAGGCTCAGTTGATAAATATCTGGACCAAAATGCATTACGTTATGTAAATTTAGGAGAGTTATTTGCTGTTGATTAACTTATCATAAATTTGATATTTTATTCAACATGTAAAAAAGTGAGGTCTATTTATACATTTAATATTTGTTAATTAGAATGTGTTTTTAGTCCTTTAATCTTTTTTTTTTTTTGTATAATGAAAATTTGAAATTTAACATTTTTAAAATAAAATGATAAAAATGATATAAATAATAAGGCAATTACGGGTGTTTGGACACAGTTCACGTGACATGACTGGCATTACATTATTTTCGCCGGCATTAATAAATTAAGAATTAGCCATGTGACGGATAGGGTGTTACGAATAATCCGTGTAAACTTAGAAATTTTCAATAATAAAACCTTTTTATTTTAATATTAACTCATATTAATAATAACAAACTTTTGTTAATTTTAAATTTTTTATAGGTTGTAGTTAAAATTTTATAATTCTGATAAGATTTATTTATAATAAAAAATTATATAATAATTATAATATTAAAAAGGTTATATATTTATATAAAATATATCAATTAATTATTTTAAGGTAAAAGTTGATTTTTAATTATATGATATTAAAGAAAATACATTTAAAATAATAAAATAAATATTATTATATTTATCTTAATAAAAAATAATATAAATATTAAAAAAGAGATAAATAACTTCCTTATTGAATGAATCTTTGTTTATTTTTTTTTAATCTGAAAAGTATTATTATTGTAGTTATAGAAAATACTTAAAGAGACTTTTGAAACAAGCAAAAAATCAAAAATTAATTATAATATATTCCTAATATCTTATAGTTATAGTTTAAATATTATGTCATATTTTAATAAAATATTACTTAAATATTTATATAATATTTTAGATAAAAACAAAAATTCTAAAATGTCAAAAGGAAGACTAAAATATCTGAAAATAAGCATAAATAGAGTAATAATCACAGTTACCATTATATGAAATACTCTTGTTTTCTTTTATATAATTAACATTAGCAAATCTCTAAACTATTTGACTTTTCTTAATCAGCAAATAAAATAGCTATTTTAATATTTAAACTAGTATTACATGAAAGAAAACATAGATGATGATAATTTAAAGGATATCATCAATCCTTAGAAAATCATATATGTCTTCTATGTCATCTATATTATCTATAATATATATTTCTTTTATACAATATATTTCTTTTATTTATTTTATTTTATTTATCTCATATATTTATTA